AGGGTTTGCAAGGGACAAGGTAATGAAATTCTCTCTATTACATTTGACACTCCACGGCCAAGTAATACAGATACTCTTCCCCATTCTGTTGCACAATTTCGACACCGTTTTCGATCACCGCCTACTAACTTGATTGTTGGAGTGTATGCGACCGCCACCATTCCTGCTGGTTCCGACTGTGTGCTTCTAACCATTTGTTATCGAGCACAGGGAGGAACACGTGGAGTGGCTCTCGATTGGCCAAGTGGAAGGTCCAATTCGCGAGGTTAACAGTATAGATTGATCACAAATTGAAAAGCAAGAAGGAAAAACATTAACAAGATGATAATCCTGATTAAGGTATGATTGAACATGTAATTAAGAGCTAAAAGACAGTGAATGCTTATTTGCTAATTAGATTTTGAAATAAATAGTGGGGTTAGGGTCAGAATCAGGGTAAGGGTTAGCGGCAAATTCAGGGTCTCGAGTGAGTTAAAGCGATCGTTGACTGTGGACCATTGATCGTCAACAACAGCAATAGTGAAATTGTTTATTAATTTTTAATTAAATAATATCAAAAAAATTCTTTGGAACCTATCACTGACTTGGAATTCTTGGAAGAAAAATATAGATTGTAGTGGTAGATGAACATTAAAAAGTACAAGTATATTAGAGAATAAGTACATGGAATATATATATAGTTGATATATTTGTAATAAATTGAGGGTCTTGTTGACCTCAAAAAAGGTACCAACATAAACCCGGGCCCTACTCACACTCACGTGGTGAGCCAACAAAATGTTTGAGCACTAGGGTGAATCGATCAAATATCGAAACTCAAAATATAAGAATCAAGTATAAACACTCACAAAGGGAAATGGTTAAGAGAGAAAGGATGTAAGAACAAAGCCTTAATATCTTGAGTTATAGTTGCATTATTCTTTTAAGTGGTACAATGAGTGGTATTTATAGTGTTACAATTGAAATTATGGCTATTGGATGAAGAGCATGTGATTTCATCTAACCTATCGGGACATCCCATCACAAATGTCCCGTCATCCACTTGCCCTGAATTATCTAAGAGTTGCCCTAAGTTGTCAAAATTTATTTAATAATTTGTTAGGTTTGACTTACTGATTTACAGATTGTCACGTCAATCATTTTTGGCCAGATATTGAAGATCTCCTTGAAAACTGCTTCCGATCTGAAGCCCTAAGGGGCAAGGGGCTTTGGAACAAAGGCTTCGTGTATAGGGCTTCGTCGGGAGTTTTGGCAACTTTAGCAAGTGTTTCCTCTTTACTATATTTAACTAGTTTTGATAACGAGGACGTTGACAAATGAATGCCACGTGGCGATGGATAGAGCCTTGTTTGCCGAGGCTTGATATTAGTCCTCCTAATCCATGTATGGTTATTTATATATTGCATTAAATTTGCTTGTTGGAGCTAATGAGTTTTCGTGGGTCCCTTTTTTTTTTTTTTTAGGTCAACAGATCTTAATGGTAATTTTCTTTTACACTACTCACATTTTTCTCTCTCCCATTAGTTTTGACTTTCGAAAGTCCCATCTTCATCTCCCTGCCTTTATCATTTTGGCCAATGAATGCAATGGTTACCCTTTTTTTTAAAAAAAAGAAAGGGGTCAAAAAATTAATACCGATGGAGCCAACATAGGTAGTCATCAGTGCTCACCAAGTGCTGACTCCACCGCTAATCAAGGTACCAAAGATGAAGGTTCACCATTGCCCCCAACAAAAGAACTCTTGTGGAATATTTTTTCTTAATTGAACTTAGATGATCCCTCGACATTCTAAGTTCACCAAGCATGTTTGAATTGTCTTATTTCACACTCTAATATAGCATGAGAATGAAAAATTATTAGGTAATTATATTAACACTACAAATTTTACTAAGTACACCACAATTTTCTTATTTACTAAAATATCCATAAGTAAAATTACATAATTAAAATTTTAAAATAATTTTTAATTAAATAAATTATTATTTCACCACAAATGTAATACCTAATTTCTTTCTTCATTTTTTCTCAACATTTCATTGTTTATAATTTTTTCGACGACAAGATAATTTTTTTCCTCACTATAAATGAATTCATTTTTTCAATTTATTTGTCGAGTTTGAAAATCAAGGATCTAATTTTTTTTGTTGAGTCAAACAGATTAATTATGATTTTAAAACAGTCATTTAAAATTATTAATTTATGTTTCAGCTTTCGTGGATTTTTGTGTACGAGATCTATCAATTTCCTTGGATTTTTGCATATGCAGATATATGAATTTCTCTCCATTTATAACACATCAAAACCATTAAAAAAATGAGAAAAAAGAGAGAGGATGATGGGAAGTCAAACATGGAATCTTCCTGTAAATTGTCTGAATTTACTTTAAAGAATCAAACATAATGTTACAATTAAAATCTTGTTAAAAGCAATTAAAAAGGTTATTGTGGTGCAAATTTTCTGTGACGAAAATATAATATTTTCCACCTATAATGCACCCGGTGCAAAATCTCTGTAACGAAAAGATACTGAAATTTTTGTTTTAGAATTAGTGAAAATGTTTAAAGGATGAAAAAAATGAGAAGTAGTATTGGGATAATAAGTACACCACATTTTTTTTTCCATTTTTATTTTTCGGGTAATTAGCACAAAACGTTCTTACCTTTCAATGTTATTGTGCAAAACGTCCCTAATTTTTATTTGTTGACATTTTCACCCTTATTTTCACCTTTCATTGCACAAATCATCTCTATTATCCAAAATTTTAAAAAATGTAAAATGACAAATATATCCTCATATGTAAATAAAATTAAAAAGAAAAGAAAAGAAAAATTAAAGAACGAATTGCAATCACACTCCAAACTTTTTTAAAAAGTAAAAATTAATCCAAATAAATTATTAAAAGCATAATTAGAACAAAGCGTTCCTACCTTTCATTTTTTGACAATTCCAACCTTATTTTTCACATTTCATTGCGAAAATCGTAATGTTTATCCAGTTTTTTAATGAAAAGGTGTAAATTGATGAATATACCCTCCTATTTAGATAAAAATAAAAATAAAAAACAAATTGCAACTACACTCCAAAAATTTCAAAAAAAAAAAAAAAATTTAAAATAATTAATTAAAAATTAAAAATAAAAAATATAAATTATTTTGTTTTTTAATTATTTATTTGAGGCTTATTTGTACTTTTTGAAAATTTTGGAAGTATAGTTGTAATTTATAATGTGTTTTTTTCTTCATTTTTTTATTTAAATAGGAGGGTGTATTTATAGTTTTACAACTTTTAATTGAGAAAATAGATAAAAAAGATAATTTTTGCAGTGTAATGTGAAAAAAAATTATGAAGATGCCAAAAAATGAAAAGTATGGACGTTTTATAGTAATTACATGTTTAATAATTTATTTGTACTCATTTGTACTTTTTAAAAAAGTTAGGAGTACAATTGAAATTCTTTCTTTAATTTTTCTTTATTTTATTTAAATAGGAGGGTATATTTGTCACTTTACATTTTTTATTAAAAAATTGGATGAAAATAATGATTTCTACAATTAAAAATGAAAATAAAGGTAAAATGCCAAAAAATGAAAGGTTTGAAAATTTTGCACAATAACATTGAAATATAATAATATTTTGTACTAATTACCCTATATTTTTAAGCATTAAAAATTCTTTAAAATAAAGAACGTTTTGTATTTAAAGAATTTTATTTTATCTTTAAATTCGCTTTTAAAAGGTATACAAGCTTTTCTTCAAAAGTTGAAATTGAAAACAAAAGCATGGGGAAAGGCCCCAATATTGATTGTCTTTCTTTATGGCACGTACGTGAAAAAATGGGTTGGCCAATTATAATTCCGCCTGCTGACCCTACTACACCACCAGAATATATTCTTGCTTGATTGCCAGCTTCAATTGCCTTCATCAAGTCTGTGACACAATGCAATTTTTATTATTATTTATTTTTTCGTTTTTAAATTATTGCCACTTTTAAAATTCAAGTTAATTAAAAATTTAAATAATAAAGAAAATAAAATTAAAACAGGCATCAAACTACTGCTTGGTTCGCACTTAAAGAAACCAGTACTATTGGTCATGAAAATTAGGCAAAAATTCAAGTGGTGTCCCCAACTTTCAAAAATGATGTTCCAAGTCTTCAACCTTTATAAATATGTGAATTTGAGTCCTTAAGTTGTAAATTTTATACATTACAATTGCATGCGAATTTGAATTAATTGTAGAGAAATGTTGAGAGATTGGATGACTTTATTTCTAACTTTGAGTTATTTGAAAGACGTGTGATTTTACCATTCACGTCGACAATTTTAATCACGTGGGGTCCATATTCATATATTGAAATTGAATGATAGAAACCTTTGACAAAAGGGAATAAATTAGTTAAAGAGCTGTGATAAATAAGATGGTCTATGGAAGTCCCCCAGCAAAGTTAAGTTAGATTCGGAAATTCCTTTTCTTTTCCATTAAAGCATGAAAAAGTGGGATTTTACCTCCCCAGTTGTAAGAAATGTCAGTTTTTCCCTATTCAGAAATAGAACGTATGAGAAGCCCTAATGGGTCACGGCTTGGCATTTCTTCAAATACCGTGCTTAAAAAGTAACCCAACTTTTAAAAATTGGGACGTGAAAGTAATATCTATTTTAAAAATGTACTAGATTCCTTCAATTTTACACAAGCAAGAACATGTTTGATGTGCAATATTAGACAGAATTCCTTCAACGCTATTCCTGAAATGTGGAATTGGACTCCTTGTAAGCGCAGTGTACAAGCAGCTCTTGTTCCCTAGCCTGTTGGGACACATCCCGCGATTTACCTCCTTCACAAAACTCTAGGAACGAAACGGTGGAGGCCCTCAAAGTTGGAGTTCAACCTTTTTTTTAATCATTGTTGACAATATCCTATTTGGCAACATCTTATTCATCCATTTCAAAAACTATTTTTTTACATCAGAGGTTTAGATTGACAAAACACGGTTTATCAACCATGTTTGTACAACTAACTTTATTGCTAACAAAAAGGATTGGAAATAAACCTCGAGATTAGTACAACAAAGGAGAATGATTGTTCTACAAAGATCGGAATAATTAAGATGAGAAAAGGCTAATAACGTGAATCAACTCAAAATCCACTTGATGCAAGAAAAATCAAATCGGTCAACAAACCAAATGAAGCTGATCGATCAAGAATCCTAGAAAGTAACACAACAAAGTGTAGATTCTAAGCCTTCAACAAGAAGCCTCCAAGAGATATATATCTATCAATTCTCTAATCTTCAGACTTGTGTGCCCCACTTGTATATCTCCATTACATCACTTTATTTTCATTCACACGTGCCATATCATGCCCCACCCACAACAAATACGACCCATGCACGCAAAGATAAAAAGCCAAGAATCATCACCCACAAAAGCCCCCCTTGGATTTTCAACTTCTATAATACAAAACAAGAAAAATCCATTGAAAGATCAAGAAAATCTTGTGTTGGAGGAGAGAGTGATTAGGGTTTTGTTCGTCTTCCCTTTCTTGCGTTCGAGAAATGAAAGTAACCTTTTCTGGAAATAATCACAACCAATCACTGAACTCAAAACCAGTGGTTACGACCACCCTGACCACCACTTCTCGGGGCAACACCGCACCTACTACCTCCCTCTACGAGCCAAAATCGGTTCCTGAACTCTGTGGAAACCCTAGTCCCGTTGCTAAAAAGGTCATATCTACTTGTGCTACAGCTAATATTTCAACAATTCGAGATGATCCTCTTCAACTGGGAGATCATGCGCTAAACCATCACTTTGAGGTTTGGGATTCTTTGATGAGAGAACTGGGTTTGGATGACGATTCGATCCCCGTTTCAAAACCTATTTCTCAACTTGGTACTCACTGTGATCAGCAGTATTCATCAATCCCCGAGTTCCCACCTGTAAGCTCCTTCGATTCATCAACTCGGTTTGAGCCATCTGAATTTAGTATACTCTCAGATATTACCACTACATACTCTCCTGCACCTTTGAGCCATAACAGCAATATCATCCACCCATTTGACCTATCTGGAGAAATCCAAAACTTGAATAACAACTTGAACATTGGATTCGATTACGTAGATGAGTTAATCCGACTTGCCGAGTGCTTCGAGACCAACTCACCACAACTTGGGCAGGTTTCATTGGCACAGCTCAATCAACAGCTCAGATCTCCCACCGGAAAGCCCCTCCAGAGAGCTGCCTTCTACTTCAAGGAAGCCCTTCAATCCCTACTCTCCGGGTTGACTCGACAAACTCACCCTGCCAGCTCTTCAGAGATCATCCAGGCCATCAAAGCACAGAAAATGTTTTCAGGCATCTCCCCAGTTCCCATGTTCTCAAGCTTCATGGCTAACCAAGCCGTGCTTGAAGCCCTAGAGGGCTCCATTCATGTCCACATCATCGACTTTGATATCGGGCTTGGCAGCCATTGGGCTTCGTATTTGAAAGAGCTAGCTGATAAAGCTGAGTTGGGTAAACTTACCCCAGGAATGCTTCGAATTACAGCTATAGTTCCTGAAAAGTATGCAATGGAATCAAAGCTGATCAAAGAGAATTTGACTCAATTTGCACGTGAGCTGAATATTAGGCTGGATATAGACTTTGTTTCGATAAGTACATTTGAGTATTCATCTTTCAACGCCATCAAATTGATGGATAGTGAAAATGTCGCCGTTCTTTTATCTCCGGCAATATTCAGGCATGTTGGGACTGGGTTTCTCGATGATCTCCACAGAGTTTCACCTCTCGTGGTGGTGTATGTCGAGAGTGAAGGGCAGACGGGATTTGAAGCACCGTCATTTCGCCAGACTCTGATTGATGGTCTAGATTTTTACTCCAGCCTATTCGAGTCACTAGAGGCTGCAAACTTTAAAAGCAGTGGTGGCTGTAGTGTTGATTGGATAAGAAGGATTGAGACTTCTGTGCTTCTTCCCAAGATCATGGAAGCAGTAGAGGCGGCCAGCCGCCGCAATACACCATGGAAGGAAGCGCTAGTGGCTGCCGGCTTAAGACAGGTGGGGCTCAGTCAGTTCGCTGACTTTCAAGCTGAGTGTTTACTAAGGAGAGCAAATATCATAGGATTCCACGTGGCAAAACAGCAGGAGGAGATGCTGCTTTGCTGGCACAATAGGCCACTTGTTGCCACGTCGGCTTGGAGGTATTAGGAAATAATTACTACCATAAGTATCAGTAATAATCTCCCTATAAGGGTTTTATTTTGAGGTAATTAAGCTAGGTTAGGAATGGGGATATTAATCCTGACCACTATGTTTTTCTTTGTAATTTATATTGAAAAGGATTAGTCTTTCATGTTTATGTATCTTGGATGAATTCATACTTTAGAGTTCTGACAGAAAATGCATTTCAAGATAAATGAAGAAAACAAGATCACTATGTCGAGTGTAATAGCCAAGTGAACAATTAGATATCTAACGTCATTGGAAGAACACAGATTGATGTTACAGTAAATGGGGTTATATGGTATAGATTAGTAGACAACAACAAACTTCCTCAAGTCACAAATATCTTAGGAACTTAGAAAAATACATCCTTTACTTAATTGAGCTTAAAGTCATGAAATTCTCCGGAAATAGAAAAAATTCTCTCTTTAAACATCATAATCTACTCTCTAACATCCTGATCTAACAGTTACCTTCATCACCACGAGACTGAATATGGTTAACTGGACTGTTGTTCTCAAGTTTAGATACTGCCTCGGGCCCACAAACCCTCATTAATTCTTCCTGTTTCAGCAGCAAAATTTTACTCATTACTATATTTCTTGTGTGCTTGTTGAGGGGGTTATTAGATCAAAAGTTAAAAGAAACCTTAACTAGGAAGGTCCAACAACGGGGACACAAATAGAACACTTTTCGGAACTTTTGTATTATTGTTTATTTATTTGATAATGATCTACCAGCAGATTTTTCAAACGCAATTTTTCCTCAAGATTCAAGAATGATATATAAAAAAGACTGCTGATTTTAAAAATAAAAAATGGTGAAACTTCTTAAGAAGTACCTTTATGGAGTCATTCTCAGATGTCAGCTTGTCACATTCCTCTGAGAGCCTCTGCAACTCATCTCTTAGTGTGCGATTCTCACCACTCAAAGTCTCTACCCTGTGTTGTAGCTCTTCACACTCAGCCTGCAAAAAGTGACAACAATATGAATGTCTTAGGAATTACAAAAAATGATGACAATCAGATCACTTCAAGAGAAAGAAGGCAATACTGCAAATATTGAAGCATAAAGACAGATACTAGCATCACCGTCAGGCACTTTATGAGAAAGCTCGAGGACATATCTCAGGTCTATGTTTAAAAGAAAAGCTTCTCTTTCCTTAACTACAGTTTCAAAATCTTCTCTGTGCTTATTAAGATACATTTCTACCACTTTCATTACTACAACAGTAACCAAGAGTGCATAGCTAGTCTGATCCAGTTCAGAATTCAGATCCTATGGCCACCATAAATTTCCTGCAATAATAGAAATTAGATGGTAGTTTTTTTATATATTATGCCATCTAATACAAAACAAGCAGCAGCTAAACATTGATCTCATGGACTTGGGGTCGTCCAAATATTAAGCAATCTAGTAAAGCAAGCAAAAATAAAGAAAATCAAATTCGAAGAGACAAGCCAAATATTTGCACACTTTAATGCAATCTAATAAAGAACACAATAAACTTGGGCCAACCAAGTATGCCCACAAACAAGAATTTTTTCTTTAACTTTATTTTTATATCGCTTTCTATGTTGAATAACAATAGAATAATATTGTTAATTGAGATAACCAATGATTAACTAGTTATACTAGTCTGCTTTCCAAACCACACCTGCTGTTCTAAATCCCATTCACAATTACATGTTACAATACTTGGGGGATGCACATGCATATATTGATTAACAGGCCATAAGAAAAGACTTTATTGAGGAAACATCAAAGTGAAATTGCTAACTAGAAACTGAGCCTAACCTGCTTCCGTAATCTTGATCTCCGAGCAGACTCCCGATTAGATTGCTTTCTCTTTTGTCTTTTTAGTTCTCTATCATCCTGGCAAATTGAAGTTCAAAAATCTACATGAGTTCTGGTATAGAAGTGTTGGTCCTCGAAATGCCCAAAAGTGAAAACTAGAACAACTCCACAAGACCACTTCAAAGAGATAGCCAAATGTCAAAACCACCACCGAGAAAAAAACCCAGGCAGTTGTTTCTAGGAACAATTTATTAAGTCGTACAATACTTTACAGGTGGGGAACAGGGGGTTACAGCTTCAGCATTCACCAAGTCGAATCAATAAGGTACCCAATTTCTCCACTGAACAGAAATCATATAAAGTTCAACAGGCACAATACGGAAACAAATAACTAAAACATAATCCTATTTGATTTGGAAATATTAAAAGGTGAGTTAACATACTTGAATCCAATGCTCATTCATCATGCCAGATGGAGATGGAGCCACAGTTGGTGAAACACTAGTCTGACTGGGGCATAATTTCATAGCCCCAGAAACAGCAGACGATGCATTCCATAAATCCATGCCAATGTTCAAATTAGTTGCAGGCATAGAAACTACAGGATTCCCAGGTACTGAATTCTGGAAGTTAGCCGGACCAGAGTTCTGTGCATTTGCTCCTGATTAACCAATAGACTGGTCAGACTGAGAACAATACGAAGAACCGGGGCGAGGTGTACAGGCAAAAATGTTTACCTTCAGCAAGCATCTGGTCAAAACTTCCTTTCTTGGTTGCAGAGAATTCCTAAAATGTCAAATTAGATTGACTTTAATATGAATATGACATATCATATTTGCTCTTTCTTGACTGAGGCACATTAATGTAAGAGTTAGTTATTTTGCTACCACAGGTCCCAAAATCAAGTTTCAGGGGATTGTCAAGACTCTTGAACACTGGAGTGAAATAAGATTGTATGGTCACTAAAGCAGAAAAACAAACCTGGTTATCATTCTGATCGCTTGCATCCGATGAACCTTCACTTCCGCTATCAGCGCTGTTCATGAGCAATTTTTACAATCATACATTATGATAACCAACAAAATCACAAGATCATCGAGAGAGAGTAAATCTGAAATGAACAAGATAGTAATCTGGGACTAAATCTAACAATATACATTAAAAATATATCAATGGCACTTTTGGCACATTGTATTAGACCGGATAAGGATTAATTTAATCCTATCTAATCCTTGTCCGGTGTTTGGTAGAATTAATGCAGTCAAGCATATATAACTAATATGCTACGGGTTTATACTTTAAACCGTATAATTTTTCACACTTTTATGAATTAAAGTAAAAAATTTGTAAGTACTAAATATTTCAATTATAAGTTAAAAAATAACATATAAGTAAAAAACCACATATAAACCAAAAAACCAATTATTAGTATAATATAAAGAAAAAATTATATCAAGGGAAATTTTTTAATTATAAGGTTAAAAATATAATTATAGGTAAAATAATATTACTCATGAGTAGAAGTTCACTTATAAGTTAATAAGACTTATAAGTAGAAAAATTACTCGTAAGTTAAAAAAAAAATATATATATATATATATATACACACACACACACACACACACACACACACACTTTAAGCGAAAAAAGTAACAACAAAAAAATCACTTATAATGAAAAATACACTAAGAAGTAAAAAATTTACTACGATTAAAAAACTTACTTATAAGTAAAAAAATCACTTAAAAGCAAAAAATACTAAGAAAATTTATGTTAAGAAAATTTAAAATAAATTGATGTTAAGAAAAATTATTTATACACAAAAAAAAATTGGTATTTTAAATACTTAGACATTTTTCTAATCCAGTGTGATACCAATCGCCGTACTAAGAACAATCCAACCTAATCCACCTTGATCCAATCCCCCCTAATCCTATACGGTGTACCAAACGTGCCCTAAGGTTAAGAGATGAAGTTTGCGATCGAATAGGACAATTGTATTACATCTGTCTAAAAGCACCTTTGTGTTGCAACATCATTTCCAGAGCCTGAAGCTGATTTCCCACCATCTCCAGTCTTTCCACCAATCAATCCATGGTTTCCTGAAGTCCCCTTGGATTTTTTGCTTGAAGCACGGTTCTTTGCCTCAGTTGTTTTTCCATCTGACTCTGCAATTCCATGTACAGCGCCTGGAGTCTAAAGAAAGCACAACAAACCATAAAGATATAATTGACGCTTCCACATCTACCAAAATGGTGCTTGATTGAAAGACCATAAGGATATCATGTTCAAATCGTTGACAGAATGCATAAAAACAACAGACATAATCAATACTTTACAAAATGACACCAACAACTAAATAACAAAACTTTGTGCATCTCAATTACCGTGGCCATATTGGGATGAGCATAGACTCCCCCAGGAGCATATATAGCTGGATATGGAACTGGAGTCCCATAAGGTGGCATCAGAGGATGCTGAAAAACAATCGAGCAATATTATGGGAAGGTGATCTATATATTCTAAAGGTCTTAAAATGTCCAACTATTGCAGGTATAAGGGTAGATCTAGAAATCAAAATTCTAGAATAATCACCTGGCCTCCCCACAAGTAGGGATGAGGTGTAGGAGAAGCAATTGTTGAAGCAAAGAAAGGTGGAGTAGCTCCAGCACCATAGAAAGCCTGGAAAATGAAAGGGTTTCGAATAAGCGAACACAAAAATAGTAAGATAAAACAAGTATCGAAGAAAAATGAAAACCCGAAGCTTTCATCAGAAACCTGCATAGAGTTTGACCAATCAGTATATGCAGGTGTAGTTGGTGCTTCCTGAAATTCAATTAAAAAAAGGGGGAAATAGGATGAGCTGCATTTAGTTTGCAGTATAGCTGAGACATAAATATGATAAAAGGACCATATAATTATGATTGCCCTTGAAATGCTAAGATGTACAAAATAATAAAAGAGAGAACCTGAGTAGTAGTAGCAGAGGTGGAAGATTTTGCAGGGGTGCCCTCATGTCCAGTGCCCATTTGAGCAGCTGATTTTAGGCTCAATTGTCTAACCTCACTTTAATTGGCCAGTATAAGATCTTGTATTGTCAATTAAAAGAAAGGCACCTGATTGACATCAAACAAGAGAAATTTATTGTCACTTCAATGAGTACAAATGTACAATATTCTACTTTCAAATCAATGACAAAGTCAATTTCTATTATCTATATTAGTGTGTCGGCGATTGCTCAACAGATCCAAGATATCTTGAAACTGCATTACAATAAATCAGTTCTGCAGCATTAATGAGTATCTAATGGCATGGAATAAAGCTAATAAAAGATCTCCTCCCATGAATGACAGTTACTGCAAATGACTGCAAAACTCATTGGAAATCCACAATTCTTCAGCAATTCACTAAAGGAAACCATTTCTCCCCCACCCCTGCCCGTAACATCCCTTTTCAGCCTGTTTGTATAACCTTCTTCATAAATTAATGAACTCTTGCACCCATTGGCAATCTTGGTTCAGTCTCATGTGGTCTTTCCGAATCATTCTTTCCATTACTCCCCTCTTTTATCTTTTTAAATACCTCGTAATAACTCCTTAGATTTCTACCCATTTGAGTTAACCGCTATCTCCATTCCAAAACTCTTCATGCCTTTGCTATCAAGGCAGGGCAGCTTCTTATATCCTCTCTAGATGTAGAAGATGTAGAGCCACAAAGGAGATGTCCCAGTTCATGATGTTACGTGAAGTTCAGCTGGTTTTTAAATTAGCAGCAATAATGAATGATTGTCAATGATAGGCATGGAACATATGGCGCAGTTAAAGATTTTGGTAATGCTAAGCACCGGTCGTGTTACATAGCATTATTATAAAGACTGATAGCAGCAACAGATTTTACTTTATATATTGAAGATAAATGCAGATTGCCATGTTTCCGTCCTTTTCTGTCTATTCTACATATTGTTACTTTCTGAAATGAACAGTCAAATTATTGTCAGGTTTCTGTATAGATTGTGACAAATGGCAATTGAATAGATCTCATGTGTGCAAAGAGTGGTCTACCACACCTACATTAACATTTCACACTTCTTATTTGCATAGTGTGCACTTTCTACTATTAAATTCAAAGTGCCGTTTCATATATTAAAGTGAGACAACAAGAAAAAGTGTCTTCACAATAGC